GCCAGGTGGGTGTTGGTCTCTTCTCCCAAGTAACAAGTGATAGGACAAGGGGAAATGGCCTCAAGTTGTGCCAGGGGAGGAAAAAATTCTTCACCAAAATTCTTCACCAGGCTGCCCAGGGAAGTGGTGGAGTCACCATCCCTGGAGGTATTTAGAAGATGTGTAGATGTGGCACTTAGGGACATGGTTTACTGGTGGACTTGGCAGTACTAGGTTAACGGTTCTATGATATTAGTGATGCCTGGCTGCTTGGATACTCATAATCTCTAAAAAGCATTTTCAGCATAGAGCCTGGCAGCTAGGAAGACAGGGGATGGGAGGTCAGCGTAAAGTGGATAAATAAATAATGCATAAACAGACATCAGATGACGCACACTATCAAACCTGATCTTGAGTACAATTCCCGCCGCAGGCAATAGGAATGTTACCTGAGGAAAGGTTTACCTTCTGACTTCAGGATCTGGCCTGCACCAAAGATGCCAATGCCACTACTTCTACCAGAATATTCAGTGTGTTTGATCAAAAACAGTATGAAGTTTTATTATTCACAGAGGAAAAGGGTTCTTTCTCAAACTATTACTGTTGCCAAATGAAAATACTAGTTCTTGGTGCAGGTTTAATACATTTGTTTCTGGCCCATTTGTCAAGGAGGCTACAAGGCAGTTTTGGCCTTCCCTGGGACGGGCACAATCCCACTGCCTTTGCTTACATGCGAGCGATTCCCCTGGCTCCTACCACCGTGGAGAGGTGCACACCAACTGCACCGTACAAACAGCAGTGTTACAGCATCACTGTGAGCGGAAGCTTCATCTGCTAATTCTATGGATGCATAAATCTGCAAATAATTAACTTGTCAAGATCCAAGCTGTCAGGTACTTAAACCTACTGCAGCAGCGGAATATATTCCAGCACCTTAGAAATTACTCCCAGCTATCCTGACCAAAAGAATGACTGCCAGCCATGACAGCCAGAAACTGCTCATGGGCAGAAAAGTAGTACTTAAGATCAATGCAAGGTGAAAAAAAGTTGGGTTTTTTCAGCTATGTGATATCCAAAAGCTTTCTAGTAAAGAGTAAATTCTTAGTAGGCTAACTCATGTAGCTTTTCAAAGGCATGTGGGACCACAGTAAAAATTCAGGCAGGGATATGAAAAATTTTCTTTTTATGAAGCACAAATGTTAAAATCTAACTGTACATTGTAGTAATGCTTAAATGTCATAAATAGATTTTAGAAAATGTGGTATTCAATAACTGCAGAAAATATAAAAAAAAATTATAAAAAGGTATACTTAATGCCTTGATTCACAGCAAGGAGAACTCTTTTGTAAGCTGATTTTTCCCATCTCTGCCCCCATTATTTCACTTGATCAGCTTTCTCTGCACAAACGTAGAAAGCAGTTCACTGACTTGAATACAGCAATCCATCCACCAAAACAGATTTCATCAACAGAGCTAAAGAATAATAGCCGAGTCCTTTTGAATTAAAAAAAAGTAGTCTGGCTGAGAGACCAGCCACTGACAACTCCCTGTACTACAAGGTAACTTCTCACTTGAGATATAGGAAATATTTACTTTGTAACAGCTAAAAGGTATAATTCACTATCAAACTGCAAAATGAAATAACTACTCTTTCTGCTGCATCTGAACAGTCATTTTTGTTTCTCTGTAGATAATCCAACTTGAAAAATACCTGGAGCAACCTGGAGAGATGAGAAACATATTTGTTAAAAATGAGTGTTGCATATTTTCAGTATTGAGGCATAGACTCACAGAATGTTAAAAAAGAAAAAGACAAAATCCGTATGTTGAGTCCAGAAATAAAGTTGGACAATACCAATTTGTATAAGATAATAGTGGTTCTCGCTTATTCATCTTCTTATGTATTCAGTTTTTAGGTCCATATCTGAATCTGATGAGTCACTTTCATCAGAAGAATGAGATGAATTTTGCCATTCATGAGAGCCGTTACAACAGTGTGATTTCTGCACACTTTCTGTGTTGTCCACGAGTTTTGATTCAAAAGCACGAGTACATTGCCAGTCAACTGCATCTTCTTGGGAAGAAAGAAGAGCTGCAGAACTATCCATATTCTCTTCAGAGGTTGCCAACAGCACAGTTTTTAAGTTGATGGTAAAGCAAGCACTGTTTCTTTGCCTGGAAGAATAGTTACAATTTACCTCAGAGAAAGGATTAAGTAACTCACTACTCGTGCCTTTGTCTTCTTCAACATCCATCTCATGCTCTTCAAAATCTTCAGCATCTGGATTTTCACTTGTCTGACTTCTGCTGTTGTCACATGTACTATTTATAGAGTACTGCATGAATACGTTAGGTGTGTCAGAGGAGCGAGGTACTCTACTTATGATATCACGCCTTGTATAGTCATGATTACTTATGGCATCGCTGTCACTGTCATCGCTGTCATCTTCATCACTGACACTACCAATGGATTCATTTGCCTTTTTTTTAATCTCTTTGTAAATGACCTCTACAGAGGCTATTTCTTCAGATTCAGATGTCCAAGGTGAATAGGTTAACGTCCTGATGAATACCTAAAAGAGCAAAGTCAATAAAAAAAAAATCAGCCAAATTTGGACATGTGCACAGAAAAATATGAAAGAAACCCCCCAGTCATGAGGTTGTCAAACAATTGATTCTTTCTGTGCCACAATTTTGGCCTTTTCTGAGAGTTCAGAGCATCTAGGATTGTTCCCTCTTCTCCATTCCTGTAAATGTCACAGCTTTCACTACAAACCAATGCACACAGCTTGGATGGCCTCAGAGAAATGGCACTAGTGCCAAGCAGCATCAGGTATGAAGTGTTTTAATTCTAATTTTTGAGACCTCTTGCCAAGACTAAAAGCTCATTTCAGAAATACACCTTAAACCTGAGGTGAGTCTTGCAACTATTAGCTCTTGCAGTTACCATGCAAAAGAGAAGCCTTATATGGACAATCAATTTTAATGTCCTTTAGAAATGTACCATTTGAAGCAATGAACTATACAACATCTTAAGTCCCATTTTCTCAGTTTTACTTTGCACATCTGAGGATTATTGAATATTTGAAGCATTAGGGGAAAATGTTGACAGCAAAAAAATTAACCTTAGACACTGCTTGCCAAAGTTCAGCAATCTTAGGGATATGGAGGTAATGACATAGCAAAAGACAGAAACATGAGGAAAACCGTCTTAGAAGAAATTGATACCAATCTGTACTGGATATGTTTGTAGAAAACAGAAAATACTTACGCTGAAAAAAAACTATAGAATTAAATGTAAAAGAAGCCAGAGACTATTTAAAAAAAAAAAAAAAAAAAAAGGCAAGCAAAGATGGATAGAATCAAGTCCCAGCAATCTTGTTACTTTTGCTTGGAATTTAGTGGCAGTTTAGTCTCTTCTATTAAAATAAAAAAGTAGCTGACTGAGCTAAAACATGACACTTGATCACAGAAAAAGTCAAAGAAAGATTATTTTATTCAAAATAGTGGAACAGTTTGAGTGATATATTATTATTACCTACCTTTCTTCCTTAAGTACTCTTCCTTTATCATGGACTTTTTTGCCATTCACTGTATGTGCCTACTAAGACTAGCTTAGCATTTGGAAGGTGATGCAGGTATTGTTTGCCTTGTGTACGTGCCCATCCTCCTCCCTACCCCCACCTCAAGTAAGTTTTCTTCCAGAACTATATTGGTTTTTTCCTTTCCTTTTTTGTTTTCATTCAACTCCAATATTCAGGGAGATTTTGACAGCCTGGTCCAGGAATTAGCTTTTAAGATACTATGCCAGCTCTGAATTCTGGCAGAGATAACTTGCATATAAATATCCTTTTTTTTTCCTACTAAGTGTTCCACTATCAGGCATCCTTTTCACTTATCCCTGTTTATAACAGTATACAGTAATAAACCATTACTGAGACTGGACAAGGAAGAGAGACATCAGGCTACCCAGAGAAGTGATCCTGAACTTGCCAGTAACAGTTCTGGAACTAACAACTAGGATACTTTTCTGGCAGAGACGTATCAGCACATAACTGCATCACTGTCTATGGTATGAGATAGATGTGAAACTGGAAGGCTGGGGACCTGCAAGGTATATCTGATTTCAGTAAAGAGGATTTTTGCTTTGACTGAGAAGCTACTGTTGACAAAGCAGACTCCTTTGTTGTTTCCTGAGAAACAACATGCTTTAAAGACTGCTTTCTCAAAGCAGTGTCTCATCTCTACCAAGGTCTTTGATTGTCTGTCCTTTGTCTCCTTGTTGAGGTGAACTGAGAGTAAGTTCTTGTTGTGTGTGAGATCATTTCCAACAACCATTCGGATCTTGCTCTTACCAGGCTGCTGAACTTTTACTTTTAGCACTTCTCACATGGTGTTCTTGACTACTTTTGCAGACAATAACCATGAAGCATAGCTTTAGGGGAAAAAAAGTCTCAGAGCACTAACAGTGACTTTCCCTCTTCAGATGTGGCTAAATAACTGGCCCATCATTTGGGGATAATGAGACCAAAACTCCCAACTCTAGGCCATTTTTATGCATTACTACAGGAACAATAAGCCCATACCCAACTGGGTCTTAAAGCTACCTTTTGTCTTTTCCTCTTGCTTTCCTATGGAAACATAAAGAAAAGACCTTGAAGGCCAAGTTTAAAATATTTGCTTTCAGTTGTAGAATCTCTCAAAATGACTTTAAACTCCAGCAACCAGGGACCTGGCTAAACTATCCTCAAAGCTTCAGGGAATGCTCTGGTTTTTGCTGTAATAAATGGAAAAATATTATAGGGGTAATTGGTTTTGTTCTTAGAGAGGAGTACAATGCTGCAGGGTGAAATAAGGTAGGCAAAATGTGCCAGAAACTGCTTGGCTAAGAGACAATGGATACACATTGCTCCTGAATATTTTCAGAGCATCCTTCTTGGTGAGGAACAGGTCTTCTCCCTATGCACTTCAACTATGAACTGGAGTAGGGTTTTTTTGTTTTGGAGTTATTGCCCTGGCTCAGATACTAGAAGAAATTTGTCTGCTGCAGGAAGGATTTACATATAGTGTAATTTTCAAAGGGAAAGGGGTTGTTCTAGGCTGGGTGCTCTGCTGTAGGACCTAGCCTGCTTCTGTGGACCATAAAGACTTCATTTAAAGTTACTTTTTTGGGGGGGGCCTCCCCTTCACCACTGCCTGCCCCCTCTTAACTTCATAGAATCATAGAACAGCCCAGGCTGGAAGGGACCTCAAGAAACCATCTGGTCCAACCTTTCATGGGAGAGGGAGCCCAGATGAGCTAGCACCCTGTCCAATCACATATGGAAAACCTCTAGTGATGGGAACTCTACCACATCCTTGGGGAGGTTGTGCCAGTGATTGATTGTTCTCACTGTAAAAAATTTTCTTTCTTGTATTGAGATGAAACCTCTCATGGTGCAACTTGTACCCATGGCCCTTTGTCTTGAGAGCCTCTGTCCTGTTTATAGCTGGTCTTTAAATACCGGAATACTGTAATGAGGTACCCCCTGAGTCGTCTCTTCTCCAAGGAGAAAAGACCTATAGTCTTTCTAAAGTCTTTCAGTCTTTCCTCCCAGGGCAGATTCTCTGGCCCTTTGCTCATCTTTGTGGCCCTTCTCTGGACCCTCCCCAGTCTGTCCGTGTCTTTCTTGGGCTGTGGCAACCCCAGAACTGGACACAGTACTCCAGATGTGGCCTGACAAGCACTGAGTAGGGCGAGATGATCACATCTCTATCTCTGTTAGTATCTTGTCACAGAAGTAGTATGAAACAGACTGAAAGTAGACTGAATATTTGTTCCACAGAACAGACAAGATTTACCAGCCTATAGACTACCTTTCACATAGGTAAACTGCAAATTAAAACATTATATAGACACATAACTTGTACCTAATGCACAGAATTAGAAATTTCAGATGGTAAACTTCCTCCTCCCAACCAGAAAGGTTAAATAGGAGAATTATTACATACCAAGGTATGTGGAAGTGTTTTTTTTTGAAGAATATAACCTCCTGCCTGCATACACTTCAGGGCACCAGCTAACATCAGTGAAAGACATACAGCACCTGTGACTGTGACCATATGATAATCTGCAAGTGAAAAAACCATACATGAATGAAGTTTCTAATGACCACATTTCATAGTTCACATTCAGAACAGCTATTTAGAATCACAGAATAATTTTGGTTAGAAGGGACCTCTGGAGCTCATCTGGTCCAAAGTCAAAAAAAGACCAAATCTCAAATTAGATTCAGGAATTAAAAAAAGAAATGACACCATCTTTGATAACTATTTATGCAGTTAGTGGGTATTTCTACGGCTCTCAGGATTAACAACAGATTTGTAGCCCCAGAGGAAACAGGTTTTTATATTTCACTTATAAATCAGCATGTTTATCACTTGGAAGGTACTTTCTCTCGTTATTTTTAGGATTGACTTGTAAATCTTCCTACGTAAAAAGAAAACACTTGCACATAATCAAGTCAGACAATCCATTCCTGCACCACAGCACAGTTACCTTGTTGAGCCACTGAGTCTGCAGCTATACATTTCCAGGCTGATGGGATGGAATGTTTGTTTAGAGATGCAGTAACCATAACAGACACACAGTAATTTCTATTTGGATACAATTCTTCAATGACAGTAGTAAAAATTTCTTCAGTGGTGATCTCATGTGGCCTCTGCCATGAAAGACAATGTTTGAAAGTTAGCTGTTTGCCTAAAAAGAAATCCCTAGCCACTAATAAAACATTATGGCGATTTCAGAGAAATGCAGTAGCATGTGAAACTGCAAAAACTGCCACAGTAACTCAGCATTTTACCTAGACAACTGCTTCAGGTCTAGTTCTAGCTGATGTCAAAATGCCTACCCTACACCTGTTCGTGAAATATCATATTATCAAAGATAAATTGCCTTCTTTCTCCGGCTGTTGGTGACTATATATCCCCTTGAAGTAACCTTACATAGATTCTACAGATTTCAAACTGCAGGTGGTAAGGTCTGGTTCAGAAATCAGGGGAAAAATAGAAGGCAAGTTGTGGTCCTCCTTCCGTGACTCATGGCAGAATGAGTTAGCTTAAATTCCCAACAGGTACCTGTCTGCCCTGCTGTTCAAAACTTCCAATACAGGCAGTCCATGCTCTAGCTAGGCAACTTATTCCAGTGCTTTGCCAGCCCTGGTATTACGGTCTCTCTTTATGTTTCACCTGAAGTCTGCACAACTGCCTATTTCACTTCAGTTTTTGGGCACAGTCACAGTGTTTATTTCCTTCTTTTCTGTAGTAAATGTTTACCTATGCAGAGACTCTGGCCTCTAACTGTGCTTTGCTTGCTTAGACCAAGCAGCCCTCTATTATTCCAGCATCTCCTCGCAGGTCATGTGTCAGGATCCCCCCCAGTTCTCACTGTTCCTTTTTGGATCCTGCTCAAGTGGTCTGTGCCTTTTCTGAATCCCAGACTGGTGTGGGGTAGGTGGCCTTTACAGGTACTAAGTATGTAAAAATATGACTTTTTTCTCTCTCAGCAACATGAGAGTCATGTTTAGCTTGTAATATTGTAGAATGCTCTCATCCTTTCTGGCAAAACTGCTGCCTGTGTTACCTGCTGCTGTTACCACTCTACTTATTACACAGACAATTATTATTAAGCGTTATGCCTTGCATTGGTCCTTATTGAATTATGTCCTATTATTTTAAGATTATTTCTCCATTTTGTGAGGATTATTTTAAGTTCCAGTCATGCCTACCTACCTCTCTATGTCAGCATACAAAAAATAATTTAAATAGTACCAGACCTCAGAAACTAACTGGATACATGTCCTGGTTTCGGCAGGTTGACAGAAAACTACCAAACTGCTTTCTGAATGTATTTTCCTATCAGGTGTGCATACACTTGCTAGTAGTTTCTGCTCAGCTGTCTTTCCAGAGACTAATCACTTGAGCCAGTGCCCTGTGCTTTATGTCAAGTAAGGATACAGGCCAACTGGTATTCATCTTCTAGGCCTGCTACTCTGCAGTAGAAGGAAGCTAAGATTATGTTGGACATTCTCTTTTTCTTCTTCTAAGTGTCTTCTATTCACATATTTGCTTCTGTGAATCTGCTAACCATCAGAGCCATTTTATGCTTTCTGTATTTGCCCCCTAAACCATAGATAAAACAAAAAGTTATTTACCTTATGCTCTCTATCATGTGTTTTCAGTGTTATAACATACTCAAGCTCTTTATATATATCAGTTAAAGTTAGCAGCTTTTCATTTTTTCTGAAGTAAGAGGTTGGCAGCTTTATGGTAACATTTATGCAGTTTAGACAGGAACTGATATTAACTTCTGGTGGTCCCAGGAATGCTATTGAAAAAAAGAAAGAGAAAAAAAAAGATAGAAAAATATACACTAGTGTTCAGTATCAATTCTATTTCAGTGACAGATATATAGCTGACTAATCAGATTCCAGAGTATGTCACTGTTGCAAATCCACAAGGCCTTGAAACATTTAAGTTCCACGGTCAAACGATCTTTTCTCACAAGACTAGATTTTAAAACAGAAAGCAGTGGAGGGGAGGGAAGAAGCAGAAAGGTGACAGAGGCTTTGCTTCAGCTCCACAGAGATGTGAGCTTTTTAATCTATTTGAGAGGAAAGCTGAGGTTAACGTACAGGAAAAGCTGACTAGTTTCTTGCTCATCATCATTTTCTAGTCACTCTCTGGAAGGAATCTCTGTAGAAATTCAGTGGTGTAGCTCTGCACATATTCATACTGGTTGCAAGGAAGGCTATAGGTCTAAACTTGACAGCTGAGCTCCAAAGACTAAAAACTCGACTGATAGTAGGACAGAAGACCTTGTGAAACATAGCTACACTTCTGTGAGACTTCCATTGAGTTCAAAGTAACCTCTCAAGTTCAGGTCCTCAGAACATGTACATGCTTGAAGAGCCGTGCACGCTAATTGTCTCCTCTCTCCAAAACTACACATCCATCAAGATCAGAGGAACTTCCATAGTGAATCAAGCCTATCTGTGTTCCTCCAATACAGGAAAGAAGTAGGAACGTTAGAAAATGGTGCAAGAACAAACTATCTCCATAATCCTCCATTTCTGCATAGTATAATGCAGGGGGGAAAAAAACATGAAAGTTTATTGAGTTTGCATTTGACTTTTGTCTTCTCCAGAAGCATGTATGCTTTGATCAAGGTGGAGCCTGGTTTGCCAACCTCTGCAAAATTCAAAAAGCGATAAACTTTTGCTAACTACTTCTGTTCCTGCAATAGGGTAGAAAACAAAAAAGAAGTTTAATACTTAAAAGTGAGCTTTCATCTACTCTCAAACAGGAAAGCATGTTGTAGTCAAATGGCTGAACCCTTACTCCTTTCTCATCTTTTAAGTTACAAATAAACATTAGCTTAAATCTGATTACTGTCTAATGTGGCTGTTCTCCTGGCTGTTTGTTACGAAGCCTTTCTGTCTTTGCTCAAATCCATCTGTCAACAGGTGTGAGATTCCACCATAGGTATTTGAAGGTAAATATCAACTACATCCCATAGGGAACTATCTCGGAATATTGATTCTTTGCTATTCGGGCAAAACAAAAAAGGACTACAGGGTTTATCTAAGTCCCATGCCCTGGAAAACACAACTTCACTCAGCTGCTTATGGTTTGAACTAAAGAACTACTAGCAAACATCCAATTTCAATTTACAAGTTGCCAGTGATAGATAATCAGTCAAAGCACCTGACAGTTTGTTCCAGTGGTCAATTCAAACTATGCCTCTTGTTCCAAGCTAAAACTTACCTAGCTTCAGCTTCCAGTCAAGGCATGCTGTTATGCTTTGTCTACAGACTGAAGAAGCCTGCCATCATATTAACTAGTAGTCAATGTACTTTCTGATCCTTCTCATTATTAAACTCACTGCTGAAAGACTGAAGGCCCCCACCTCAGAGGGGTGTTCTCAAATCCTTCAGTTATCCTTGTGGCTATTCTCCCTGTCCCCTCCAATTTTTCCTTATTTCTGAGGCAGTAAGGGGATGCAGCAGTGGCTACCTCTGTGCTGAATTCAGAGGTAACATGACCTATTTCTCCTCCATAGTCCTCCAACTGGAAGGTACACTCATTACTTTTGGTGAAAGTTAAGGAAAGGAAGCTTTTTCAGAATGAGTGAGCTGGATTAGCATAAATTTATGCTAATATATAGTCAGTATATTGTCAGTAACTTTAGTCACAGCACATCACTTTAATTAGTTGAGCTTTCTCAACAGATGTTCCTCAATGTCTGTCTCCATTACTTCAAAACTGAATACTAAGCACGACTAAGGGTGAAGCCACCTCTGGTATTAGAAGATGTCACAGCTAATAAGCATCATCTTTCAGCAAGCAAAGGAAAAAGAGCAGCTTGATGAACAAGCAAGTAAATCTCTTCCCGTATACCTAGTGCAGACATGGTATTTCTTTAACTCTTAACATTGTATCTTCAGGTAGTCAAAAACAAAGTTGGGTTTTTTTAAGTTATGTATCTTATGCGCTTAAGAGATTTTTACTTTGTGCTTGTCAATGTTTGACACTATTTCCTCGATATTTTATATATATACACATATTATTTCAAAACCAGAGCCTCATCCATTTATCAGAACTACTCTAGCCACAAATTTTAGAACGTTATCTATATATTCTATGTCTTGCAACTGATAGGTGATAGATGATACACAAATTCACATTCTCTTAGATGAAGGAATAAGCTACTGACCAAGTCAGTTTGGAGTGTCTTACTGTAAAGCTAGCAGAACATCATTTATACATCAGCTAGGAATAAAAACTACTAAAATGAGCAAACGCAGAGGGAGAACTTACTGTCAGTAAATGGCACAAAATGAAGTACAGAAGAATTGAATACTTCAGTTCCTATGAAGCTCTGAACCAATATGGAATACTCAGTAGAGTTCTCTTTAAAATCATCTGTCAGATTACAGGAGAGTTGTGTAATATATGAACATTGTTTTGCAGTCTGCCAGTTCCTGTAAATCAAAACAAGTTAAAAAAAGATCAAAATAATCTATCTGGATTCTCTGATACAAGAAAGCATAGGAGGGGGGAAGCATTTCTGAGTGGAAAAAACAGACAAACAAACAAGAAAACCCCAGCCTTAGTATTTTCAGTCAATAAATGTTAAAAGTAAAATTTGTGTCTTATAAAATAAGACTTGCCTGCGGTCAGTGTACAGCACACGATAGTATGTTGGCACAGTTGGATCACCTTTTGCCTGCCAGGACAAAATGTGCTGAAAATTGCAAGATTTCATTTGTAGGTCGTGAAATCTGTCTAGAAAGGGAAAACAAACCAAAACCAAACAATCCACCAATATGAATAGCAAACAAATGTGACATTGCAACAATTCTAATCAATAAACACAATTAGAGCAGCCCAATATTTGCCCCAAAATAAAGCAACCACAGAACAGAGTTCAGCACGATAGAAACAACAATGCAAAGGACTGTCCTCCTGTATTATATTTCTACTAAGTTCTTTCTTCAAAAAGCATAAAGTTGTAAAGTGATGCTTGGTGAGAATATGCAAGTTTTTTTGAACTGTGTTAGGAAAAGCAGTTGAAAGACAATAAAAACTCTTACCAGGCAAGCTGCAACAAGCTGCAGACAGAATGCTGATGTACACTGGAAAATGAAGCTATGTATTAATACATTTGTATGTCTACAATATCTGATTATTAGCTAACTATCAGCAATATTCATTTGTAACAATTAGAGACAATACTCAGCATTCCCTCAGTGGAACTGTTTCTTTCCTTCTTCCTACCACTTTCCTCTGCCCTTCCCTCCTTCCCCAGAGTATGGTATCATAGAATCACAGAATGGTTTGGGTTGGAAGGGACCTCAAAGATCACCCAGTTCCAAACCCCCCCCCTGCCATGGGCAGGGACACCCTCCACTAGACCACGTCACCCAAGGCCCCATCCAACCTGGCCTTGAACACTTCCAGGGATGGGGCATCCACAACCTCTCTGGGCAACCTGTTCCAGTGCCTCACCACTCTAACAGTAAAGAATTTCTTTCTAACATCTAATCTAAATCCTTCTCAGCTTAAACTCCTTCAGCTTAAACCCATTACCCCTTGT